GACAGGAATGACAGCGGTTAACCAAAGGATACAGGAGTAGTTGACTTGGTGTTGACTTTGTTACACTGATGTCTAGTTGTTTAATAGATCAAACACTGGTCTACATGTAGCTGGGAAAGTGCTTTGTAGGCTTTTCTAGAACACCAGAACATCTATAAACAAAAAGGTCCAATGAGTGTCCAGAACAATTACTTAACAGAAAGCACATCATGAAATCTTCTGAAGCCACAGATATAGGAAATGGTAGAAACTTCTAGAAAGGAAGAAAGAAAGAAAGAAAGAAAGAAAGAAAGAAAGAAAGAAAGAAAGAAATATTATTAGCACTACTAAAAGATAACAATACAATTACTTAAATTTTTGAGTGAAAGTGATTTCAGGCTGGGGATATAGCTCAGTGGCACAGCACCTGCCTGTGAAGCATGAGGTCTTGAGTTCAACTCCTGGTACTAAAAAAAAAAAACAGAAAAAAAGAAAGAAAAGAAGAGAAAATTATCCCACATAGCAGTAAAATTTCAAACACTCTCAGACAATGAAGATAATTTCAGATATTCAGAATTCCCCAAATAACACACACACACACACACACATACACACACCAAAAAAAAGAGCACTTAGAGCTCTGGAAATAGAGGATTTAATACAGAGGCTGGGTGAAAAAAACCTCCAGGACAGATGCAAACAGGAGACCTAACAGAGGAGCTGTGTGAGGCGGGAGAGATCAGCCTGAGCAAGAGCAGAGGTCAGGAATCCCAACGTCCTGGATGGTGGGTCCTGTGTGGGAGACCAAGAGACTGATCAACATCTTGGCTACAGTTCTCTCAGATAGTTTTGTTTCCTAGAAGCATCTAGGAGATTCCTGGAAGACTATAGAAAGGCAAATATGTTTGAGAAAGGAAATATAGTCAAAGTGAATGGCATGGCTCTGAAGTGCATTCATAGCATTTTAACATAATAATCCCTAAATACCGGTGCAAAGAACAGAAGAACCCTTGAGGAGGAAGGCAAGGAACCAAGGGCTCAGCTTCTATGGTAGAAAGACACTAGACAATGCCTGCATTTCAAAAATCAAGATTGAACCACACATCCATGTTATCAGAAATTACACAAATTAAAGCCAGAAGAAACACCCAAAGAAGTTGAAGTTAGCTTGTCTGAGCAGGGAGATTTTAAGAAGGTTTCAATTAGAACTGCTGTTTTATATCATGAGCCTTTACATTTTATTTGGCTTTTAAAATTACACTCATGAAATTTTTGATAAAACAATACAAGTTGAATCCAAAAGTGAAAAGACTGAAAAATGAATTTTAATTCTTTCCCTCACATATTTCTGTGCCTGTTTTCCTGTCCCCTCCTGGCCCTTCCTGGTTGGGGTTTGTCTAACCCAGGTTATGCTTTTTAGAATAACTTCTTAGCTGCATTTTCCTAACAATAGATGCCACAAAATAAGACGTTAACAATAGATTCCAAAGGTTGCTAGCAAAGGCTTTTGGCCTCCCCTCTGAAGGAAGATACAGAGCATGGTGCTGACTCATGTCTCTAACTCACCCACTCCGGGAGGCTGAGGCAGGAAGATCATAAGTTTGTGCCCAGCCTGCACAAGTAAGTGACTTAGGGAGATCCTGTCTCATAACAGAAAACAGAGACAGATTAGGGCTGTAGCCCAGTGCAAAGGCCCTGGTTTCAATCCCCAGCACAGCAATGAATCAATCAGTCTACTTAATCTGGTTGATACAGAATGGTCACCCACACTCACAATGCAGATAATAATAATTAAGGCATGCTTGTATTTTGCTCACTGTGGATTTGATCTATTTCCCTTCTATATTTACTTGTAAGTCAATTTATTGCCAGTTTCTACATCAGAATTTAAGCTCACTGAAAGTTTCAATCATTGGTGCAAATAAAATATTCTTTGATTAGTTTAAGGAATCAATAGCAACCACATAGGAAAGATAATTAGTCTCTTTTTAAAAAAAATTGGCCAAAGAGTATAAAGCCCTCTGGATATCTGAGGAGATACATGAGCATAAAGCCCTCTGGATATCTGAGGAGATACATGAGCAAGGTTTCCCATTTGCTCTGTTTCTTCCATGCTTGGACTGACTGGGCCCCTGCTCTGCTCCTCACTGCCCCTTCCTAGGATGTGCTACTATGTATCCTGGCTCCTCTGTAGGTACTGACCTAGCAGTAGATGCATGGAAAGCTAGAATGGGATTATTATATTTTGTTAGGTGCAGTTATTTTAGTCATTTTTTTAAAAACTTGCTTGTAAGCAGAGTTATCCAAAAATTACCAAGCCCACTGCCACTAGAAGCACCTATGCAGGAGTTCCCTGAGCCAGCTTTCTAAATGTAGCACATTCCTACTACAGCCAAGACGCTAACTGTCAAGTACCAATCACTTTTTTATCACTTATAATAACAGAAGTATGACGTTTTTAATGGGTACATGGATGTCCAGATTGAGAACCTATTTTCCAGCCTCTTTTGCAGCTAAGTATGTCCATACAGAGCCCATGTTGTGTCAAAGGACAAGATTTCATTCTGGTACTTTTTCCCATCAACTAATGAATGGCCAAGAAAAATATAGATATTCAAAAAGGACTACTCCTTCCCCCTAACTCACTGAGCTTATCTACAGGTCCACAAGGCCTTCAGAAGAAAGATACTTGCAGAACTATTTTCAATGAGATGTCTGATATTATTTCTCAAGCATGACCTTCTCTTTAAAGTTAAATAATGGAAAGCACATGAAGGAAATGCAAGCCTGGGAGCATTTTCAGAAATTCATTATATTCAAGTTTTCTACAGACTTAAACAATGCCACCTTTAAAACACAGATGCTTAATGTTGACTGAGTGATTGCATTTCACTGAGTTAGAGATGGAAAATTACAGGCAGAATTGTTAAATAGAGAAAACTTTCAGAGAGCACCAAACACTGAAAATGATGACTCTACAGCATTCCAGTTTTTCATCATTCCAGAAGAAAGAAACTGATACTTGACAATCAGTAACTGGCTATAGCAAGAATGTCTGGTACTCACAAAAACTTGGTGGCAATGAAATAAACAAAAGGGGAACAAAGCTAAGCTTTCAGGTAGAAATCAGCTCTACAATCAGTCCACATAGCGTGAAGGGAATGTCTTCAGTGACTATGCAGGAGAGTGAGTCAAGAACTATTAGACTATTATTATCAAGCTAGATGCTCAGACTGGGACCAGACCCAAACTCCTGAAGGCTGGACCAGACTGGACTTGAGTGACAAGCAGAAAATCCATCCCAGGGCACTCTATGGGAAAAAAACATAATGGAAAGAGAGCTCCAGGGAGCCACTGCACCCTCGTTGTATGGGACAGACAGGAATGACACATAGATAGGAGAAGACAGCTTAGATGAGGGAACAGAGAGGACGGCACTGAAGACCACCAGGGGAAGGAAAAGAGCAATCAAATCAGCATCTCTTCATCCCAGTGAGGACCCAATTCGGACAGGCTTTCACACAACAGAGATAAAGAAATACCTGTTTCTTTACTGAGCTGGGACTTGATTAAGTCATCGATGGCTGTTTCTACGTAACACAAAAAATATCCAGAAAACTTCTGTCAGGACTTTGAAGAATTTCAGTCCATCATCAAGCTCGCCTGAAGGACAAAATACCTGGGGTGATGTGTGGAGGTTTCCTCTGGAAGGACCAAAGGAAACATATATTTTGTTGTACTGACCTCAGAGGTTTAGCCAAATTTTTAAAAGTTGCTTAAAATGTGACCTGTGTTCTATGTGTAATTACATCAAAATGAAACATCATTTTAACAAAAGGAAATTACTGAAAAGGATACAACATATGACCTAATAGATTTATTAGTTTTCATAGGAAAGATATCTACATGACAGTAATCTGACTTCACAAAAGACTGAGTACCTTGTTTCTAAGATTAGAGATATTCAGAAAAGCAAAATGTTTTTAAAATGGAAAAATATTCCCTTAGTACATCAGAAACAATTCACTGGCTGCAAATTTGGAAGGAAAAATCTGAAATTAAAAGGACACAAGGTGCTGTAGCTGTCACTGGTACTATCTGCCCAGCTCCCCATAAGCTTCCTCTTTTCTGGGATATTTAATGCCTTGCTCCTACCTCAGAGGTGTGTTTCCTAGAAGCCAAGTGCCTTTGATGGACCCTGATAATCCTGGCTCAGAGGCAACCGAACAAAAAAAAACTAAGTCAGTTAGAATTTCCTTCCTGGAACTGTAACCAAGAGAAGCAAGTGAGCCTCCATGGGTAGCTGGGAGTAGAATTGTAAGCAGTACCAGGGTCATGAGGCGGTCATGCTACCATGAAAAGAGAAACACGTCCTTCTGCAGAGAGAGACGAAGAGAGAGAAATGGAGAGTGACCATGAATGGCCGTGTATCAACAGCAGCCTTCTGAGTTCTCACTGCACTGCTCCACAGCCCTACGCTTTGTGGGCCACCACGTATAATACATTCCACATTAATGTCCACACTAGTTCTGGTTGGTTTCTGAAGCTTATATCTCAAAAAAAGAATTAACGATTTATCAATTCCTTCCCATCGCTTTGGACTCACTTGCCACATGGACCAATTTCAAAAGAAAGATACAGTTCAATTTTTCTATGCTGTATTCCTTGCCATGCATAGGTAATAATTAACTCGTGTTTTTCTTCCCCTGGAAAATAAAATGTATTCCTGATTTTCATAATCAAAACTTTTCAATTGTGAAAAGAAGATCTACTTCAAGTTGAGAAATTCTCAAGTACAAGTCTGATGACTGAGAGTCCTCCACAGTACCTCTCTCTTGCCAAACTTGCAACACAAATCTTGAATAAGTGAAATAATTTTATCCACGTTGGGTGATACATAAACACAGCTGCGATGCTGCAGATACATGTTTAGAAGCTCCGAAAGAGAAACAGAGAATCACCCGTTATAAGGTAATAAAAGCAAGCCTCCACCCTGAAGATGTAACACGGTTGTCTCTTACCTGGCTGACACTGATCACACCTTCTTCCTTGGCGGTGAGGCAAACACACGCACTGGCCACTGGTTGGGTCGCACGTGGTCCCAGATAATGTCCCCAGGGAGTCACAGTCACACATCGCGCAGCCTTGAAAACTGCCCGTGGTCACATTGTAGCTGTGAGGCTCACACTGGTTGCAGAGTGGACCTGTTATCCCTAATCTGCAAGGACACTGTCCTGTCGCTTTGTCACACAGCAGAGAGCCATTTACTGTCCCAGATTTCTCACAGTTACAGGGCAGACAGAGAAATGAATCATTGTGCTTTCGGGAGAAGTAGCCCTCCACACAATCCCTGCACTGTCTGCCTCCCGTGCTGGGCTTGCAGAGGCACTGTCCTGTCTCAGCGTCGCAGACGGTCCCCGGGACGGAGCCAGCTGCGTCGCAGTCGCAGGCCTTGCAGCCGGTAGCGTCCAGCCCGTAGAAGTGTTCTCTGCAAGTGTCACACCGCAGTCCTTTGACTCCTTTCTTACACTCACACTGGCCAGAAACAGGATTGCAGATCTTGTTCACAGAGCCATGGAGATTACACCGGCAGGGCTCGCACCCGTCATCGTTGAAACTTCTGAGAAACTTGAACCCAGAATTGCAGTTATCACATCTACGCCCTAAAAATAAAGGATGTTTAAAAACATGAGAATGGGAAGATATTTCCAGTCCAAACAACTGCAGCACAAACACTGACACTGCAGACATTTAATGCAGCCGCAGAATACTAGGTTTTTCTCATATGCAACACCACAGAGAGCAGATCATCCCTTCCACACATGAGGGCAACACTCAGCTGAGGTTTCATTCCCAGCTTCCTGGGCAATGTGCTTTACCAAATTTATTTGTTACTTCATAAAAACAAGTGTTTAATGTACATGCTGTTCCTGTTACATGCCCAGTGGCTCTTGCCCTTATCCACAAACATTAAAATTATCTTAACACAATATGGTCATTTAGAAGTGTAGACTTGCGGGTTAATGCATTATTTTTCTAGAAATCAGAGTTCCTTAAAAACATTTAATAAAATGTTAAGCTGGCCACAAAGTTTCAGTTAATAAGGATAAATAAGTCCCAGAGATCCATTTTACCTCATGGGTACTATAGGTAAAAATAATACATTGTGTACTTGAAAATTGATGAGATTTTATCTTAGAAAGTAAGTGTATGAGATGACTAACATGCCAATTATCTTTCATTAAGGTTAGGGTTAGGATTATATATTTATATTTATACATATATAGTATGCTGTACAGTGTAAATATATATAATTTTTATTTATTTTTAGTTATATCTGTTTATTAGCTACATCTTAATAGAGCTGGGGAGAATGAACAAAATAAAACATTACACTAATAACTATTTTTGTAACAAGAATACATACAATTACACCTGACTATCCCACATCAAAATAATTGATATAAACAAAACTGATCCAGAGAAATTTTTATTTTAATCCTTTTGTATGCTCCCATTTAATTATTTTTGATTAATATAAATTATGCTCTTGGCTTATAAAGCAATCACATTGCTTGTCATACTGTGTGATTCAGAACATACCTCTTTAAACACTGGGTAAATTCTGCTCTTCCTGTTACCTCTATTTTTAAAAAGTATATGCATACATTTTATCAAAAGAGAAAAATGTATAAAGTTAAATCTCTGACAACTTAGGTTAGTGTCAAAAAAAGGTGTAACAAGGCAAAAGGGACTATAAACAACCAAGAATGTTCAGATGCAAAATAGTTCTATGTCCTTTAGATATCCATGAATTTAAATAACTGTGTGGAGTTGAGTGAACAAAAACATTTATTTGAAGCTATAATTGCAGTAAAAATTAGTTCTAAAATAAAAGCCCAAAACATATTCAGGAGCTCATATGTAAGAAAAGCATTTCTAAACTGGGAAAGAATGCATTATATGTGTGTATATATGTGGATAAAAATTCAAGAACTCCAATGGAAGGCAAGTTCCTTAGCAGTGATGAATGAGTCACCTAAGGCATATCATTTAATTTCAATAAGGAAAATAAAAAAGGACCACTATTGCTGCAAATTTTAAAAATAACTGTATTGTTAACAAGAATTATGACTCATTTTGAACTATTAAAATTGGTCTACATGGATTCATATCATATCAGTTTTAAAAATATGTGCAGTGCTTATTTGAATATGCCATACATATTCCTGACAGGTAATCTATTCCTAACGATACTCAGGGAGGCCTACAGGGCATCGCGTTCAGTGTTAACAAGTTAGCACAGGCGACTTAGCGCACTTGGCATTTAATTCACATTCTTCTCCCTTTTTATTCTAGATGAATGACCTACTTTAATAAAATTATTGGTGCTAATGTATTTTACTGGTGATAGAATCATTAGTAAGATTTAACAGTTTTGTTAACTCTAACAGTTTGCTTTCTGGAGCATATACAACATGCCTTTGTATTTTCCAGGTTTGGTGCTGGTTTTTCATATTAACATGGTAAAACTGAATAAAGTTATTTGCTAATTCTATTAGAAAAAAAATATATATGTATGTCAAGTTTGTATTTTCATGGCAAATACTGCATGTGCAAAATAACTCTATAAATAATAACATAATATTTAAATAATGATTTAGTCTCCATAAAATAGATATTTAGGTTTTCCTGTAGCAAACTATCTGGAACAACCAATAAAATGATAATGGGCAGGATGGTCACAATAAATTTAAGTACATTTTGATTTTGTTTTCCTCTCTCAAGCTCTGCAATCTAACCATTGAGCTACTGACCTTTAATTTCTCTTTTCACATCTTAAATTTTATACATATCACATTAAAGGACAATGGATACCATAGAGGTTTAGTTCAGAGATACATACTTCTCCTTGCAAGTTATTTATTCCTTTTTCTCAAACGTTAATGATTGCATGCTTGAGCTGCCTAAGGGCAAATGATGTTACACATTTCGATGCAATCTTTCTTTACTGTAGAGTTTGAGTAGTATCATTAGGCATGTCCATATTTTTTTTTCTCAAATCAAGTCAAACTACTTGTCTATCTGACATGGGTAGCATGACTTGTGTATATGTACATAGAAAAGATAAATAGATTGAATTATAGTGCAGAAAAAAATTACTTAAAATGATATGTACATGTGTATATGTATATGGTATAATGCATTCAGAGAGAGAGAGAAAGGGCAGAGAGAGAGAGAGAGAGAGAGAGAGAGAGAGAGAGAGAGAGAGAAATCCCTGCCAGGCATTTTTTTATTATTATAAGGTCATGTCAATGTGAGAAAAACCTGGGATGACTTGGCGTCTTGCACGACAATAGAAAGGCAAAGGTCCTTTTTAAACTTCCTATATGAGCCAAAACATGTTCAATTACACTACAGGACTCACTCCATCAGGAAACTTTCCTCCTGTAATATTCTCATATATCAAAGTTTCAAAGTGCATTATGTACATAGTGTGTTTTGGGCACTTGATAAATTTTGTCCTTATGTGGCGGTGGTTCCTCTCAAAAATGCTGGATGTAATAAATTGCTATAATCAAATCTAATTTCTGAAAAATACCTGTGGGAGTAGCAAACAGAAAAGCACGTCTTGTATAAAAAAAATGATAAATAACACCAAAGGTAGGTGTTTATTATAATCAGCTTAGTACTGAATTACAAAATTAAAATTATGTGGCCCTTTATAACTAACCCTAGCAATATACATGATCTGTAGAATTACGTTGACTTATTTTGCATTTCATAGGAACAGTTCAAAGAAATATAATAGAAAAAAATGGAAAGATTTATCACAAAGGAGCCTGTAGCACAGAATATTTTTTAAAACTCCATTTATTTTGGCCTATTAAAGAAACTAGCATGGAAATGATTTGCTTAGAACTCATTAAGTGTAAAACATTTTGAAAAAGTGCTAATTTTCTAAAAGAAACATCTATGCAGTAAGAAAATTATATTTTTCTATGACTTATTAGTGTGGGACCATGTGAACTAATGCATCTACAGAATAAAGGAACTTCTAAAGGGTTGATTAAACTGAGCTTCAAACTGTAGTTTGATAGAGTTATTAATTTAATCAGTTTTAGACAGTTAATTTCATCCAAATTGTTTTTTTTCCCCAGCCTGTCTTGAGCAAAGAAATTTGCTTTACTTTTCAGTTAAGAAATCAAATAGAGAATTTTATTCCAGATGGTAATAGAGATGTGACCATAAACTCCTGCATTACACTTACCAAGAGCGTTTGCTTTGCAGTTACACTGGCCTGAATTTGGGTGACAGGTAATATCTCCATCTACTGTCCCTGAGGTATTGCAGTTACAGGGACTGCAGCCATCAGGATCCAACTCTTGCAGGCTGTAGAATCCAGCGTGGCACTGATTGCACTGTCTGCCAGACACACGTCTCTTACAATTACACTGGCCTCCAATCTGAGGAAGATACAACATTTTGTAGAATGATGAACGTATCTATTTTTAGATCGTTGGCTCATTAGTTACAAGACAAGGAGGGAGGGAGGAAAAAAACTTGAAATGTTAAATAGACAAGAAGGTAATAAGACCTTTTTTTTCCCCCACCTGACACAAAACATAAGAAGCTTTGGCAGAGTGAAAATATAGAACTGAATGAGAATAAACCCATGGAAGTCAGTAGTGTATGAATAAAGGGAAACGGGGAATTAAGCACTAAGTACTATATGAGGAAATCAAAATGCAAACATGTAGAGTCTGAAAATAGGAGGGAATCAGCAGCTCAGTTAGTCTTCACAACCGCACCTCTCTGCTGTATCTCTCCTAGCTCCTGTCTTGCCCCACATCTGCTTCACATATTTTTTATAACCACGCAGTCCCATCAAGATTTTAATAACGTGTAAAGGTCTTTGTTAACAGCATTTATTTATGAAGAACAATACCGACCTTGGTACATTTTTTCTTTATTTTAAAGAGAAAAGAAAACAAGCAACTCCTGTTTTAAGAATATTTTAGAATCTTTCTCATTTATAGTATTGTTTCACATTAAGTATCCTTAGCTGATTTATATTACAGTACATAACACAAACAGTTATCACAGAGCATCTTCAAGAGAAATCGCTGAAACATTCTGTGTTTTTCCTTTTAAGATGCTGTTACGAGAAGAATGAAAATGCAGAAAATACCTAGGGCTGATCTACAGTATACAGAGATAACACTATGTTGTTTACAGGAAGGTCTTAACCTCTTGTGAAGAGGTTGTGTGTATAGGAAATGTGAAATCAACATGAGGAATTCCGTAATAACTCAGGCTTCTCACGCAGAGACGTGGAGACAGATATCAAATCTCTCGTACAGTCACTGGCATTTCATGCCTGATCTCCTTCCACTGGGACAGAATCCAGCTCTTCCCATTTAGAGGCAGGATTATTCTAGAGGGATACGTCCTATGCATGGGAAGACGTGGTTGAATTTATGTTTAATTTCAAGGGTATTAGAAATCATATGAGGTTAGCACTTGGTTACAAATACCTAGGGAAGAGCTTTCAAATTAAAAATTAAAAACAATCGCTGCCTCATTTTTTCCCATCTGAGAAATAGGGACCCAGTAGAGCCATTACATAAGAGTAAAATAAGGCAGCAGATATAAGAATATCGGAGACCTGAAAATAAAGAGTTTTAAATGCATCAGATGTAGATACAGTGAGTCTCAATACGCAAGATGCTCTACACACAGGAAGATGGGCAGGCCGTCTGAAGCACCTCCTTGGCTATGTTCCCCAGCACAACCTCATCTACCCTCCAACCCCACAGCACCATGTCATTGCTTGACTTTCCCGGCAAAATTACCTGGCATTTATTGGGGGGGGGTCTGTGATCACACATTTGCAACACCTTACGTTGATCAAACAATTCCACACGTGTAAAGAGCACTCTCACAAATCAAGAGCAAGAATGAGTGAAACAGGTAGAGTGAAATAAATGTATTTGGTGCCAAAATATTATCTCTTACATATGTACTCACCTCTTCTCTACATGTACTACCTGTATTAGCTGGAGCTTCCTTGCCCCTTGAAAGCTGGATAGGACTGCCTCTCATGCTAATTCCACTCTGCTGAAGGATAAAAGTGCTCCTTAAATTTATGAATCCTGGGCGTGGATTGATAACCCGACTGTCAACCTGACCCTAAATTTGTGCTTCTTCCATTCTGGGTTCCCTGCCTCCCAAAAGCACTGCCGGCATCAGCTTGAGCAGTGACTCAAGTTCAAAAAGAGGAGCTCTTGCTACAAAGGAATAAAGTTGTGCTACTTGCCTGGATCAACTCCCCACCATGTGACCACGACACACTGCAAATGTGTAGTAAGAATTAACAAAAAGTGGATTTAATTTTTGAGAGGCTATTGATATTTTTGCCTACAATTGTGTATTTTTCCTTTTCTCCTTTCCCTATCATTGTTTGCTTGGTCTATTTTGCAGCTTGCTTATTTGGTGCATAAGAATTCGTACACATTAGTTCTATGGATGAAATGACACCTTAGATACCTTTTGCAATCTGAAATTGCCTTCTTGATCCTCATAACACTGTTTTTTGTTTTGTTTTGTTTTGTTTTCTGAGACAGGGTCTCACTGGGTTTCAGGCTGGGCTCAAACTTGCTATGTATCTAAGGGTATGATGTTTCCGCCTCAGCTTTGTATAGTGTCAGGATTACGGGCATGCACTACTCTGCCTGGCCTAAAATTTATATTTGATGATATTAATAAAGTCATTTTTTCTATGATTAGTGTTTGCATAGTATATCTTTATTCATTCTTTTAGCCATTGTTTTATATTTGGAATGTATTTCCTTTACGTAGCATATAGTCAATTTGTAAGGAGTTATGTTTTAAATTTGACCCTCCACTCTTTGAATTTTAAGCAGGGTATGTAGAATAGGTATTTTTAACGTGATAATTGATATGATTAGGCTTATACCTATCATCTCACAATTTTCTATTCGTCTTATGTATTTTAGATTCTTTTTTCTTCTTTTTTTGCCTGTTTCTGGGTTCCTTTATATTTTTGTTATATTATATTATATTTATACTATATATTTTAGCTTCATTTTATCTCCATGGGTAATTGGCTATAACTCTTTGTTTTATTACTATTTTAGAGGCTTCTACATATATTACAGTGTACATAGATAGCATACGATTACATTCATTATAGAGTGAAACCACTTCATAGTAGTATAAGAACCTTACAATAATATGTTCCCTTTTCTCCCCTCATAAGTATTTCAAAATCAGTATTGTACATTTAACAATGTGCTAAAAACTTTTACTTTAGTGGGGTTTTTAATCCAACTGTTAGCTTATTTTTAAAGAGAATTAAATGATCAGAAAAAAATTTATGATTTATTAATGTCATTACTATTTTTGGAGCTCTTTATCTGAGTATACCCACATTTCGATCTGGTATCATTTTACTTCTAGCTAAACATTATTTTACACATTTCTTAGAGTGTAGATCTGTAACAAACTCTTTCACTTTATGTGTTAAAAATTTTACTTCCTTTTCCTCATCCTAGTTGTTCTTTCCTTTTGAGTAGTTTTGTTTCTCTTTCACAATATCTATTGTACCTTGTGGATCTTATTTACTCTTTCAGTTTCTTACACTAGGGAGACAATGTAATGTGGAAAGGAGAAAAGAAGGGAAAAATATATATGCAAGATAGTTAAGATAATTATACCATTAATTTCTATTAGTTTATTGAAAGAAACAGTGCTTATATTGTTTGATCAATTTTGCACACCTATGTCTTGCAATATGAGCAACTACTTTGAAGATAACAATATGCAAATAGCAATCATTGTTAATTTCCTCTCATTTGGAAATTCTGTATCATTTTTATTTACTTTTCTCTTTAAAATAAAAAGCAAAATGTACTTCACCTTCATCTCAGAAGGATATTTTCAGTAGGTACAGAATTGTAAATGCACCATTTGTTTGTGTTCTGTATTTTGAGAATGTTGCTCCATTGTCTTCTTACTTGTATTATTTCTGATGGAAATCAGTTGTCATTCTTCTGGTTCTTCTTCTGTGTATACTGTGTGTTGTTCCTTTTGCTGCTCTAATATTCTGTGTTTGTCATTAGGACAAATTAGTCATACTTTGAGCCCTTCAATTATAACATGCCTGTTTGTAATTTTCGGCATATTTCATGTTCATTGCCTCCCTTGAGCTTCTTAGGTTTCTGGCTGCATAGTTTTCATATTCAACTCTTGGAAGATTGCACAGATATATGTTTTAGGTTTTCTTCCCCTGTTCCCATATTACCCCACTTCTTCTCCAGAGAGTCCAATAGAACATGTATCAAGCCTTTTGAAGTTGTCACATAGCTCACAGAATCTGTTTTCAATGTTCTATATTATCTCATTTCTTTACATTTCACTTTGTACAGAATGTATTGGGATGACTTCAAGTTCATTTACCTTTTCTTCACTGGGTAACCTGTTAATTCCAGGCAGTAGCAATTCATTTCATACATTGCTGATTTCTTCTCTGGAAGTTTGATTTGTGGGGGCTTTTGTACCTTCTATGTCTCTATGTGACTTTCTCAATGATCAAATATAATTATAATATCCTTATACTTACCTGATAATTATAATATCTGTTTCTGAATTGGTTTTCCTTGATTTTAATCTTGATTATGCATCTCATTTTCCTATTTTCTTGGCATTCCTGATAACGTTTGATTAAGTTTCAGGTATTGTTTATTTTTTCTTACTTGGTGTTAAATATTTTACATTTTTATAAATATGCCTCAGCTTCCTTCTAGTATGCAGTTAAATTATTTGAAAATAATTCCTTTAGGGGCTTGCTCTTAAGACTTACTAGGTAGTTAGAGTGCTATCAGTTGAGGGTTATTCACCGCTGAGCTAGATCTAGTCTTCAGCGGGTTGCAAGTTTTCTCCGGTTTAGCTGCTGCAAGTAGGCTCCATCTTCTACTTCTCGTACCTGCTAAGCATCTTTATTTTTAATCATGTCAAGTTGTGTTCTCTCTGCCTTCATTGACATGAAATGATCAGTATTCAAATGAATGTTTAAGGAACATGCTCTGCAAATCTCTGAAATTATTTCTCTATGCTCCCTACTCTCCCCCCTGAAAATGGATTCTACTTGGGATTACTGAAATTCTCAGCTCCATGTCTTCCTTTTAGAGAGCCCACTGGTTCCACTGGTGTTCTCCACCCCAGTGGCATAGCCCAGAAATTCTCTTAAGTCAGTAATCTGGGGAACTGTAGGACTTACACATCTACTTTGTACCTCTCAGAAGACATGTTCATCACTACTTGGTGCTCCAGGTCTTGTTAACAATTGTTTAATATGTTGTGCCCACGTTTTTCTTGTCTCAAGTAGGAGGATAAATCCAGTTTGCATAACTATGCTTAGTGGGAATAGGAAGTCTCAAAAAAG